CCAGCTACCTTTGGTTAGCTTTTATATCCCACAAGTTACTAAAAAATATAAGGAAAAAAAAGATTTTAGGAAAAGAAACCTGACAACTTCCCTGAGCACTTCAGTTGTGTTTTCATCATTCATGCTACAGCTACATAGAGACCTAAGTAAAGAGGTGAGAGGAACTTTAACTCCTGTCACCATGGCAGTAATTTATTGGCTGGTTACAATGTGCTACTGTGGCAGAACACTGCCAGACACAATCCTTATGCCAAGTCCCTAGTCAGTAAAATCAGCTCATGCATACATCTGTTAACTGTATAAGACAGGTATACATTTTTAAATACATTATTTTCCAGTATGAATGTATTTCTTGTTGCCTGCATGACTTTTTCAAAATGTGTTTTATGCATTTGCTGTAAAAAAAAGAACACTTACTTTTAGACATGTATAGGGCTTGAATAACCAAACTCATGTCTAATAGATAATAGTATATACATCTCAAAGATGGAAATAGATCATCCTTGACTATGTCACAACAATTTTACAGTTTAATTTTAACCTTAATTCTGTAGGGGAAAATGGCTAAGGAATTTGCAATTTCAGAACATTTCTAGAAAATGTTACTTCAATATTGTTACCCCAGATATTTTAGTTTCTTTAGCAATAATTAATTCTGTCCCATTCCAGGCTAAAATTGCATACTCTATGGATACTCTCATTCTTCTCCTAGATGTTTCTCAAGAAAGGTATGGGCAGTCTGCAGGAAATTTGAAGCCCATTATGCCAGCAGGAAGAAAAAAGTAGTTTAAATACAGAGCCTATGTAAAGTTCATAAACAAGCTATTTAGTAGCATATCTCTATACATTTGCAAAATGTCTGAAGATCGTCCCCAGAGAGGATACATCAAGATAAAAGACCTCTAAAAAAATGCTCTCCCCCTTTTTAAAATGTAATCATACTGTGCATATCACATATATCACCATTTTCTTTTTTGGTTTGAATGGTATGATCCTTCATGGAGGATATATGGATATTCTAACAGTAAATGATCTCATCTGAATCTCTAAACCATATACCTACCCTTAGAGTTAGTTAAGTAACAAGTTACAAAATAAATGGTGGTTAGCAAGCCTAAGAGTAGAAGTACTCCATGATGTTTTGTAAAACATCACAGATAAAAGCAAAATAAAATGAAAGCATCAGTAGCTAATGCTGAAGATAACGAATTATACTATGCTGTAACAGAGTAAGAAACTTTCCACATCATATTACTAAGAAAATACTATCAACAAAAAATTAAGTATGTGCCCTAAGGGTTAAAGGGCACTTGTAGTGGCTTTGTGCATATTGGGGTTTTTTTTTTTACTTGGTATAGTCAGAAATAAAAAATACAATTAAAAAAAAAATACATTTTTGCAAGGTTGTATGAAATATTCCATATTAATACTGTGTATTCTTTTGTGACAGCAAGTGGAGCATTAGGCTTTTTTCTTTTTTACATGTTCCTCTATTATTTGCCCCTCTGTTAAAGAAAGCCTTTTGTTTACAGAGCTCAATAACACAAACTGAAATGTACACATCCACATCAGAGGAGTGACTCAATCCCCTCACCCCTACCCCCTTCCTGTATGGCAGTCAGCTGAACGGCTTCCCCTCTACTCTAAAAACCCCGGAGGTTGCTCGCTTGGCACAGCAGCCATTCAGAGCATGCCTTGTGTTTGTATCAATGAATACAAGGTGTTTTCTCATTGGACAAGAGTTGAATAGTGATATCGCCACTCCTCATCCATTCAGAGAATGTCTTGTTACCATTGATAAAAATACTAGGCATTCTCTGAATGGTTGCTGTATTGATCGAGCAGCCCCCTGTGTTTTCAGAATGGATCTGAAAGGCCACTGTAAAGCACATTAGTAGCTGTATAGTAAGTATGCGTAATACTTTTTACCAGGAGTTAAGCTTTAAAGCAATCAAAATAAAAAACAAACGCCTTAGAAATGTTAGGACCTTACTCTACTGTATATTACCAGATCTATACGTTTTAATGCTGCAGTGGACAGATTAAGAACATATGAAGTTGATTTGAGATACTCAGTTTTCATGTTCTCTGGATTTATGGTAATGTTTTGCACATGTAGCATACTAGTTTGTGGAATTCATAATTAGTTATTGCTGCACCTTTGCTACTCTTTGTTTATCTGTACAGCTTTCTTCTGCACTGAATGTATACTTTGTATGTCTTTTTAAAGAAAAAGTAAAGCTTGGATTTGGATACATCTTTTACATACATTATTTTCACATCCTTTTTTTCACATTACTACAATACCTCTGTGTTCCTAAATAAAGACTGCAGCAATGCTGGACAGTTATGAACATTTTATCTTTATCACCTTTCAGGGTTCCAACGGAGACTCAGGAACTCCAGGACTTGACGGGCAAAAGGTAAACAAAAAACTGCAAATGGGGCAACCTGGGGCAGAATAACATAAAAATATAAGGTTTAGGTAGCTGTTTAAAATAGAGATGTTTAAATCAATAAACACAACTAACGAATGCTTCCGGCTACTTTCCCTGCCATGGGAGAGTTTTTAGACAATGCAGAAAGTGTGTTACTGTTAGGAAACCCAGAAACCAGATAGAAACTAAAGTGCAAAACAAAAAAGGAGTTTATTGAAAATAACAATAAATAAAAATTGCAAAAAACAATAGAAAGTCCAGGACCTTGTCGATGCCAAAGCAGGTAGTCAGCCGAATCAGGTCATGGAAAACTGAGAGCAGAAAGAACAGAAACAATAGCCAGAGTCAGGAACCAGGAGATCAGTCAGCCAGAGACAGGGTCATACATGGAGAACAGGAACAACAGCAGAACACTTAGATCTGAACACACGCAAGGGCGGAGATGAAATGGACCAGCTGATGGTTAAATAGTGAACTAGTTTTGCATCAGCACTCTGAGATAGGGATTTGTTAGGAGTTTGTCAGTAGTTGCAAAATGATGATGTTTATGGGTTCGGTCATAAGAGGGGACCAAAGAGGAACAAACAGTGTCAGACATACTGCAAACAAGGCATGCTGCAGCCAACTGGAGGAGGAGAGTTATGAAACCCTGGCAGTTACACACCAAACAGGGCATTGGTTTACGCATGCAAATTCTGTACTGAGTGATGGTGGATCGCTCTGCCATCCAGAATCCACAATAGCAGAATGTCACCAGCATATCCCAAAAAAGAGCAGTTTATTAGTCACCAATACAAACAGTGATGTTTTGGAGCCTTGTTTGAGCTTGTGACGTAGCCAGCAGGTGACATTCTGCTATTGTGCCATGGGAGAGTGGCTTGGCTGCCATGCAGTACCTGAAACCATTGCAAAGTATGTATTTGTGCCCAATCCCTTTACTATATCTTGTAGACTAGGTGTAAGCAAAGCAGTGGAAGCTCCCATTGAGTCAGGGAAGAGTGTATTTCCTGGTTTAGGTATAATATGGTGTGGAAGAGTGGCCACACACAGGAACAAAAACTCAAATGTGTGTACATGTATCTAACATTGTAATTAAATATTGTTCCACAAAGAGGTATTTTTTCTGTAAATTTAAAATGGGCTATGTAACTATTTTTTGTACAGCCTAATGGAGTTTTTTTTCACATGACTTTTTCAGTTATATTTAAGAGGATCTGCAAATAATGTTCTAGGAAGTCTAGGTGGAAGTACACATGCATATGTTTTTCATTATATCAAAGAAAATATGGTGACAGAAAAGACATTTGCGGTCCTTTAAATATCTGTCAGCTCAAGGTTCTCCCAAATCCAGCATCCCCTAAAGTGTTCATTTGCGTGCCAAGTTCACTTTGAAACCTGAGTCCAGAAGCAAACTGCTCCCCTTGCTGACAGGCAAAGAAGTAGCAAGCTGAATTGCTGTTTAAAGCTGTACGCTCAGCCAAGGCTCTGTGGCTACTGTTTAACCACAGAGGAAAAGGCACAGAATGGACTTACGTCCAACAGCTTGGAAAATCATGAGCTGTCTCATGAATAAATTGTAATGCATTCCAGGCTTATGGACCTTTCCGTTCATCTGTATAGTATTTTTTACAATTTTCTTGGCTATTAGTTACAAGATCCCAATAGATAGATATATAGATAGAGAGAGAGAGAAAGATTGATAGATAGATAGATAGATAGATAGATAGATAGATAGATAGATAGATAGATAGATAGATAGATAGATAGATAGAGATTTAACAATATAATCTTAACTTGATGTAATGCCACTTGGAACAGTTTATTTCCTAATTACAGTAATCTGGACTCAATTTAATAATTAATGTTGAAGTTGGTTTTAAATATGAATTATTTAATTGAAATTGGGCTTATTGAATTAGAAAATCTGCAAGAAACACAGGAGCATAGTAGATAGGCCATAGTGATATCGATCATGTTATCCGTTTTAACCCCTTGCTGTCCGCCCATCGTAAAATTATGGGCAAACGGCGGATCCTTCCCGGCGGGGTCACGTAAATGTACGTCTTCTTTTTTCCTGCTTGCGTGTGCTCCCTAGCGGGTGCGCGGGGGCGGAATACTGCCGGGAAGGATAACAGACGTTACCGGCTGTCTCGTACAAGCGTTTGGCTGGCTCTATAGCCGGCCGATCACTTGTATGACCTCGCATGGTGCGGCCCCCCCTCCCTGCCCCGCCCCCCCCCCC